GATCAATACAGGGTTGAACCTTTGGGCTTGGGTTGGAAGCTCCAAGAAGGGAGGGAAGATTTCACTCCACTCTGTCAGTATCGCCCAAAAGTGGGTGTCCAGCTACTGCAGAGCCAACTGAAGAAAACAGCAGCAAACCTCACAGTAGCTCGAGCGGAATCCCAGCAGGTGTCCGGGGTATCGGAACAGGGATTATTTAAGTTCTGAAAGGCTCTTATACGGCTCCCAGTTCAAAAACACGCAGGTATAATGTGGCTCCAATCCCTGATGGTTACAGCTACTGCCATGTGGCTGTCAGATAAGGGAATGGACGTCCCAACGCAATGCCTTCGATGTAACTGGGGATGGGAGAACATGATCCACCTCTGGCTATACTGTCCTCTGGTGGATGAGGTGTTGGTTTGGTGGAAACAACACTGGGATAAGATAGTGGGGAGAGAGTTGGGCTGGTCGGACAATTGGATGCTTACGGGTATCCTTACTACTGGAAAGTGTTATTTTCGGGGTGGAGATATGTGGCCCTGTGTTGCAGAGGGGTTGTGATGGAGATCATCTGGGCGGCCCGAAACTCTAAGGTGTTTAAGGGTGAGGATAATGCCTGCTTACATCAACAACGCCAGATCAAACAATCAATAAGAAGAATAATTGTGGTTGACTGGCAACAGAAGAATCCTGTGTGGTTTCAGAAAACTTGGGCACAGGGCAACAGATTAGTTCCAATAGACCAGGATGGTCGCTTGGCCATATGCTCATGGTTGTCAGATACACATGATTAAGTAGGACCAAGTCTAGGTCCGCATGGGACTATGATGGTTCTTAAATTGCTGGCGGAGCTTAAAAGTTAATTCCTCTGGTCAGTTTTCTTTTCAAAAAATTAATAAATAAATAAATAAATAATAAAACGAGGTCTAAAGTGATTTTGGGGTCTGTGGCACCTTTTTCCCCAGGGCTCGGTCCCACCTGCGGCACCACGAAGCTACAGGTGGCCGTCTAGGCACCATCGATTTCGTCAATCCATGGTCCTTCGGTGCCGACCATTCTTTTCATGGTAGCCTCCTATAAGGAAAATGCGCAAGTGGGACCGAGCCCCCGTTTGGGGGAAAATGGATAAAAAGGTTTCGTCGCCTGGAGGTTTTATGACTTTTCCTTCAGAATTTTTGTGTGGATACTTGATGCTCTAGTCTTTTGGTTGAGAGTCCTTCGTATCTTCACTGAGGTGTCATATGGCTCTCTGAGGTTGCTATAGCTAAGTGCAATCGTGAAGAGTCTAATAGGCACAGCAGAGAACATAGCCACTATTCAACAGTCAGATGGATAATTCACAAGACCGAGGTGTGACGTACGAGCTTTTGTGCCTGAACCAACTTTTGAAGCCCTCTATTTTTACTGATTTCTAACGAACTATAGGGGTAACTTTTGGCTGGCAGAAAGTGCATGGAATCAATGGCTTCTGAAGCCCTTTCAGTTTTCAAGACCAATTGTTCTTTTTCTCAGAATTTCCTTTCGGCAATTCATAACTTTACGTAGGACTTACGTGCACCTTAGCTAGCGCGCTAGGAATTTTGACGAAACTCCGGAATTCCCGGGCGCGCTTCCCGCCGATGTGTCCTTTCTTGGAAATGAATGCTCCCAAATTGCCTTGGGAAAGCTCGGTGAATTTTCAAAAGGACATCTGAATAGGCTAGGAATTTCTCTTCGCGCGTCCAGTTTCGTGCGACGACTTTGCATTTTTCAAATATTAAATTACTCGTAGAGCTAGTATAACTGTTTTGTTGCCTTTTTGTTTCTGCATCAGCGCCATGCATGCAAGTTTTCCCCGCTTCCCGCTATGCCCCATGCCATCTTCGTTTTTCTCCCCTTCTCGCCTTCTCCCCTATAGCCATAATTGTTTTTCTTCCCCTCTCCCTTCATGCTTCTCTCTCTCTCTCTCCTTCCATCTAAATCTAGGTCCCGCTCCACACTACCCTTCACGCTCTCCTCCCTCCCGCCTTCATCCACGAACAGGAACTCCCTACCGATTCCCCTCCCAAAGTCTCCGAGTTCATCAGACAACGCCGTGTAAGGAGATCAATTCTCTCACGTAATGATTTGATTGGACGCGAAGTAACTTGGGGGACCAATATGGCTTTCCAAGGGCAATCCTCCCTCTTTCTCGCTTTCCTCCTTCCGACCTTCGCCCCATTCCCTCACATCTCTCATTCCCCTCTTTACACTTATAAAATCTGCAAGCGCATCTGAAAACCACTCTCTCAACCCATCTGCCAGCGTGGCCTACGAATCCCCAGCGGCCATATATATCCCCGCCACCGTCAAAAATGGCCTCGTGAGACCGAGGGGAGGGGCATCTTGCCCATCAAGTTCGGGATTCCTGGACTGGTACATAGGCCCCACCCCCTCGAAATGAAAAAAAAAAAAAAGATAAAAAAATGCAGGGTAAAAATTGGGGTCTTTGGGGGGGTAAAAAATCATGGACCCCCGAAAAATATAAATAATAAATTCTTTTTTTGTGAGGCGGTGGGGGGGTGGGTGCTTTATTGATTGTGTGTGTTTAAACGTGATTGATTGATTGATTGATTGATTGGTTCAATTTGATTAATTGATTGATTGATTAATTAATCGGTTGATTGATTGATTGGTTGATTGATTGATTGATTGATTGTTTGATTGATTTAATTTGATTAATTGATTGATTGGTCGGGTGGGGGTCGCCCCCCCCCCAGCACATTTAAACACGCTGTCGCACTTTTTCTAATCGGGCCTCTTCGGGCGACCAGAAAACCAACAGACTGTCACAAAGGATTTTGTAGAATTTTGCAATAAATAAATAAAGTAAATCCCTTTCTGTTGTGTGCGTCCGGCTTCAAGCAAGTCTCAGCAAGACCTTTCGATTGCGGTCTTCGTTTGTCCTCGGTCTTAAGAATCTTTTATTTTGATTCAAAACAACAAAGATCATGCAAATAATAACCATAAAGTTCTGGTGTGGCATGCATGTATCAATTCTGTCAGTTCATTAATTTTGATAACTGTGACAAGATCATCAGAGAATGCAATCATCAGGCAGAGTCAATGCAAATGAAGCAAGACCGATTGACTCAAGCAATGACAAAGATAAATAAGGAAAGAATAAAGACTCATAATAATCTCAGAAAGTACAGATGGATAGGCACGGACAACACTCGTCAAGAGTCCATACTCATCTTTCTAGAGTCTCTTCATCACTCTCTCATTTAGCTGTGTGTCTCTTGTGCCTCGAGCCATGCCTATGTACCTCCTGAGATTGTGGTCTTTCGATGTAGAGCCACCTAAAACCAGCAAGCTCTGAGCACTTTTATCCAAGGCCCATGATATGGAAATCAACCATAGCACAAAATTTATTCCACACGGGTAGGAAAATAGGGCTAAGAAAAGATCCTTTTTTTGAGTTGTCTAGACTCCGACGGCTCGGTAACTACCTCTTACTCAATCTCAAGAGGCGAAATATACCTTTTGGCTAGGTCCACTAAGTCACCCCAACAAGAGTCGTCTGTGAGGGGAAAGAGAACCGGGCGCATGGCTAGTCTGTGTAGAGTTTGGGCCCAATTTCCGCCAAAGCTGTGGATCAGCTTCGTACCACTCTAATCAAGTTCTCTCTCCTTTTCCTCAATGTATCTTGCTGCTGAGATCCAGACTGAATCAAAGTGTTCGTGGGCTTCCTTACCCTTCTTCACATAGAGTCTCAGGTCATGAATGGTACCACCTGCGAATCTGGTGAGAACAACAAAGATCGTCAGACCCCCTTGATTGAAGCATGTGCCGGTCCCGTGAATGTGACCGGCACCGGTCATCTGAACGGGACCGGCCAGTCACCGGGGCCAAAATCCGTAAACGGCCATTCACCACGGCCGTTCACAGGTTTTCCGTCTGTCTAGGCGCTCGTACGGTCGGGGTTGGGGCGGGAGGGAAGTGCGGAGGCCTTCTACACCCCCCTGCCTTCAAATCTTAAAAAAAAAATAAAAAAATAAAAAAATGGGGTGTTTTTGACGAAAAATAAAATAAAATTTGGGGGTGGAGGTGGGCGGCGGGTTGGCGCAGGGCCTTGTGGGAAATGAGGCCCGACCGTGTTTTTTTTATTTTTTATTTATTTTTTTTCAGTATGGCGCCAGCATCCTGCTACAGTGTCATAATGTCATCATAATATGATCATAATGTTTTTTTTTGGGGCCCAGAATAGCCTGTGAATGTCCCACACGGCCGACGAAAGCTAGGACTAACACAGGCGAACTTGATTTTTATTTTTTTTCAATAAAATTAAAAATATATATTTCGATCAAAAAAAAATAATAAAAAATATGGCCAGGTGCCCGTTGACATGGAGCACAAACGTGTGAAAAAAAAAACCCCCCTAAAAACGTCCATGTAACCACCTCACGGAGTATATCTTGCGTCTAAAGCTTTCATAATATAATATCCGATTTCGAAACTGGGAAATTCCGCTAACGCGCCTCGATCGACACCAGAGAAAGAGGTAGGCTAGCCAAGCTATATATACGTTGGATAGGAAGAGGATTCTCTAATAAGCCCCACTTAATTGGAGACTTAGGACCTGGATGGACGCCGTGTGAATGATCAATCAAATCTGTGTTCTCCATAGGACCCTTTACTGGCCAACATTGCTTTGCACGGAATGGAGAATGCTTTGAATGAGTGGGCTCAGCAACAGGCGGCCGAAGGCCGAGTTATCCTAGTAAGATACGCCGATGATTTCGTTGTTCTTCACAAGGCTCGAAGAGTTGTTCAGGGCGCTCAAGGGTTCCTATCACAATGGCTCAAAAAAAAAAAAAAAACGGAGTTCCCGCTCTGCGTGAATAGCGTGAACTCCAACCGGTCACGAAAATCGTGACCGGTGACCGACCCACATTCACCAGGGCCGTGAATGGTGAACGGGGGTACGACATTGATTGAAGACAACGACATTGATGTATTGATACTGGATAGCATCCTTGAGGGCTATCTTATTGAGACTCGCCAAGACTGATTCATTGACAAGGGATGGTTGATCTGCACTCATGGCCAAAGGCGAATACTGATACTATCAATGTTCGCTCTTGAGACAGTAGGAAGTCGGGTTCCCCTATAATCAACTCCCCCTCGTTCCCTTCATTAATACGACATGGCCTTGCTAGAGCACTCTCCCTCTTTCGCCGTATCAACCCTCGTTCCCTCTCGTAATATGCTTCTTCGTCCTCTGTAGCGAGGACGGGAACGGGCGACACTTCTTGTCTACCGTCTTGTACCGCCTTTGGGAACCCTGCTTAAGCCGTCCCCTAGAAAAGGCCGACTCACAGATTGTGTTTGTGCTGATGCGGGGTTCCCTCCGCTGCCTGGGAGCCGATATACCAATTCCAACCTTCTTGCCTCAAGGCATTCCAAAACTTGCTCCCTCAAGGCCTGGATGGCATCCGGATCTGCCATCTCATGCGCGGCCACCAAGTCCATGGCCTTCCCGACGTCCCACAAGCTGAGGGAAAATGCTTCCACCCCCTCTCCTGTTTCGGGTTTTGCCCAGAGCCTCCAGCGCTCACCTTCTGACTCTTCGATTGTGAACGATCCTGGATTTGGCCCTGTGTTCCTGCAGGTAATTATTTCGTAATTCCCGCAGGCAGAATCGCATAAGAGGAGGATTAACGTCCCGTTATGCTTATTAAATATCACGGTCTCCGTCCTGCTTAGGAATGATCTCCCCAGGAGGATTCCGTGATCCACGTCTGGCATGATGAAAAAGCAAGCCCGGGTCTTCACCTTTCCAACCTCGATGAGTACATTCGAGGCTGTCCCACAAAATACGGCCTTGCAGCTAGCTCCATGCAGAATACTGAAGTCAGAACGGTCTATATCCAGCCCGAATCTGATTGCGTCCGCTTCCCGAATAATGTTCATCTCCGCCCCCGTGTCCACCATTGCCGCGCACTTGGAACCCTTCACCACCAAATCCACCGTGCCGCAGGCTACACACTTCCAGTCCATTTTCGTACCCGACTCTGCCCACTCAGCCTCCTTGAGCAGGATCGTACCCAGATGGACATTGGGCACCAGGCGCCGCGACAATCTCCCCTTCAGTTCATCGCAGAGTCGCGGGGCTGACGCTAGGATTTCCTTCAGGGTCATAAGGTCATTATGCCCTTCCAGCAGCCTGTCAATTACTCTCTCTACGTCAAATCCCTCTTCCAACCGAACCACGTATTTCTTCTTTTTGGGTGGTCCGTCACGTATGACTGGCTCGGCATCTCCCCTCGTTCCCTTTTTCCTCGCTCGCTGCTCCGTTCTCTGATCCTCTTCTCTGCGCAGCCTCTCGTCCTCTTCCTCTTCATCATCGTCATCCTCCACTTCCACAACCTCCTTTCTCTTTCCTGGCTCCTACTCCCTCCTCGGAGGTTCTTGGCTGGCGCTGGCTCTGGCTTGATTTCTTGTTCGTGCTGCCTGCGCCAGCCGGGCCTGCGGAGTGAGGGGTCTCCCCATCATTCCCGATTGTGGGCACGACCCCACCACATTTACTCCGGGTCGCCCAGGTGTTGACTCCGGGCCGGAGTCATAGAGAAACACTTCGGGGATGTTAGACCTCCATCCCTTCACTTCCTCACAGAGGCCCTCCAACTTCTGTTAGTACCTCCCCATCTTATCCAGCAGGTCCTCCATTTTCCCAAATAAGACGGACCGAGGCTCCATTCTTTCCTCCTCATCCTCGTCATCTGACTCGATGATTATGGGTTCTTCCGTCTTACCTCCTCCTCGTAGCCCTTGAGCCACTTCCTCATCGCTCCCCACTTCCTCCACCCCAATTGGTGGTTCCTCCTCTTCCTGCCATAGCCTGAACATGGCGGGGGGTGGCGGCCCAACTGCCGCTCTTCGTTGGGCTTCAACCCTCACTCCTCCAAGCCTTCTGTCAATGGCCTTAACAAGCTGATCGTAGATATTCCCATCCATAGTGGAGGAAATCAGTCCGCTTTTCTCGTCTTCCCGTCTTATATTACAGAACCTTATAGTGTGGCCTTGCTGGTCACAATGTTGACAGATGGCCGTCCTCCAGTCAAAACGGGGTCTTCCATACCCCTGACTTCCCTGATCCCCTTGGCCTTGATACCCCTGGCCTTGATTCCCTTGGCCTTGGTACCCCTGGCCTTAACTCCCTTGGCCTTGGTACCCCTGGCCTTGACTCCCTTGGCCTTGGTACCCCTGGCCTTGACTCCCTTAGCCTTGGTACCCCTGGCCTTGACCATTCCATTGCCTTCCTCTTCCGCCACCATTTCTGCCTCGCCCCCTTCCTCCACCCCTCCCTCCGTTGCCTTGATTGCCCTGCCCCTGGTTCCCACCTCCTGCAACACTGCCCTGTGAACTGGGAGCAGGTGATGGTGGCGGGGCCACAGGCTGGGCCTGGGCTGCGGGGTAGATGGGTGTTGGCATACTCGTTTAAGGTCCGGCTACTGGCGGCGGACTTCCCCATGGCACAATTGCATTGATCACCGGCCAGGGCCACTATCCGTAGGAGGGCGCCCCACCTTGCGAGGGGCCCGTACTAGATGATGGAGCCGCCGCATTTAAAGGGGCTGCTGCCTGGGCCTGAGGCGCCTGCGCTTTTCCTGATCCCTGTCCGCCCTGCGCCAAATTATGCACTTTGCGTTGGACCTTCGTCAGGTGCTGCGGCACCGGCTCTTTCTCTTCCCAGAGTTCTTCCTCAACGGCCTCTTCTATCACCGACTCCTTTCCTTTCATTTTCACAGTCGTCACTACCCTCCTTTGCACCACCGGCTTTGTCGCATACCCCAGCTGTGCCAATACGTCTGTAACAATCCTTGTTACCCCCGGGGTCCCAGAAGCGGTCGCATCTCTTTCCTTTTTCTTCTGCCTTTGCGGGCGTACCTGACGTTGCTCTACCTGGTCCAGACACCCAACTTCCACCCCTCTGTCAATGGTGGCCCAGGTGAGCTTGGTGTTACCTCCTCCATGTCTCGTCAACTCGACGGCCTCCGATGTCGTGAGTAGCCCCAGGAAGATGGCGCACTGTGCTTCCTCCGAAATCCCATGGACCTTCCGCGCCCTCTTCTTAAATTCTTGAACAAAGGCCTCTATTGTCGTAAAATCCTCTTTGTTCATTGCCTCGAGGTCCACAGTGGTCAACAGTCCATCTCCCAGACGGTACTTCCTCTGCATTCCCTCCTTGAATCTTTCCCAGCTACCTTGGGCTGCATCTATAACTTTCTTCATTTCTTGGTGGTAGCTGTGGAAAACGTACTGGAGAATGCGCTGAAATTTTACAACATCCGACCGTCCGACCAGCGCTTGTTCCACCCGCTCCAGCCATTCTGAGACTCTCTCCCCATAGAAATGGAAGGTATCGACCTTGGGGATATTGCTCGGATTCCTTTCATGCCTGTTAATAGGTGCGATAAGGTCATCGAGCGGCAGACCTTTCTTAGGAGCACTCGATGCGCCACCAGTCTCAGGCACCTTGATAGCCTCTTGTTTTCAAGCTCCCTGATAAGATAAAAAACAAGCACATCCCCTTATTCAACATTATATCTTGACTTATCTATTCGACCTGCTTTACCTAACTCTTACTACATACTTTTACCCAACATTAACGCGGTCGGCCTATAATACTTCTCCTAGCTCACGTAGGTAAACTTTCTTACCTATACTTAGTCACTCATTACTTTCCTCACTTTCTCGTCCTTCCTTTATGCCTTTTCTGACTCACTTCTCATACCCAGATGTCGTTCCACCAGGGACAACGGTAGGCTTTCCGTTTGTCCCCGGCAACAGCGCCACCTGTCGAGCGCATCGGTCCGGCATCACACGGGGGCAGTGCAGGACCCTCTCGGACGCGTCACGCAGGAGTTGGTCTAAAACCCTTCGTCGCAGATAATACATGCGGAGCTTCGTTAAGCCGCTCCGGCCGAGTGCGCCAGCCATACCTCTCGCGAGCCTCTACGACAGATTAGGGCCTACGCAAGGCACAACTTACCTACACCTTACGGAAGCTGTCACCTCCCTTCGGTGGGCGTATCCCCGCCGAGCTACCAGTCCATAGTACGAAAGTTAATCAGCTGCAATCGCAGAGGTGGACCAGCCGAGGGTATTTCTCGTTCGTTGTAACATAGGGGGTACGCGCGGTAATACGCCTCTATCGGACCTGCACGTGAACCGACATCTTGGGGGGCTGAAGTCCCAAGCGCGGCCCGTCGTCGGTCGACTAGGACGCATCCCACACACCACGCGCACACCACTTTATGAACAAAAAAACAAAACACACGCACACGTACGAAATCACACAACACAAACAACGCGACAACGCTCCTAGCCCCTCGGTAACCGTCCCATAACTTTCCGACGCGAGATCGAATAGGCGTCACGCGCGAGACTTAGGATAAAACCGCGAGGACGGAGGGCCTACTCATATCGATTTGTAATGCTGGCGTACGCAAGCAGTTGCAATGATGACGTACTATGTAGTGCCCATAATCAAGCGTTCCCTCGTGGATCCGAGTACCGCTTATGACACTCAAGTGTCAGACTCGAAGTGTCGTGAGAGCCTAACCCTTCTCAACATTGCACGGCTGAAGGAATAGTCGTGCAGCCGCCGCAGCACCTCCGGCTCTCGGCCTGAGTGTCTCGGTAGGCAAATAGAATAGGCTCTGCGCGAGGGAAAACCCCTCCCCTGCAGAACCTAGGGCTTGGGATATCCTGGATAAGAACTTCGAATCCCGGCCCAGGACCAAACGTCCGACTAAGAAAATCATCAAAAAGCAAGAACAAAAATAGAAGGAGAGGCCTGGCTTAAGCCCCTCAGTCTCAGCCTCTGAGTAGGACTTTAGTATGGGGGCTCTTCAACCCATGCAAACATTCATCCCAGGTATACCCATGTATACATGTATAAGGGTTAAGTATGTGACGATCACTTCTCACGGTCTCACTGGGTCTCTCACAATAATAAGTATATATGCGATCGTAGGCAACCAAATCCAGAATCTGATTCACAGCACATACCAGCAATCACATCAACGAACCAAATCAACAGCCCACACACTACACGGAGTCAACCCCAACCACCTTCGACACTCATATCCCTCGCTTTAGCCATGCAAGCCCCAATCTCCTGTCCAACCAACCTTAATTAAATACTCAGTACTTCTGTTAAATGACCATTCAATAAAAGTCCGGGTGAAACCTTAATAAAACAACGAAATCACCAGGGCTAAAGCCTTTTAGATTGAGTGTGGAGGGAGATTTAAAATTGAGTCGTAGATCGACGAATCGACAACCGACCTGTGATAACAGAAGACGATTCTCAAGGGATCAGGCTGAATCTAGCCCAAGTCCTGAATCAATATGATAAAGAGGGCCTGTAACACAAGACAGACCAATCCTCAAGCTAGGATCATAAGTATATGGAGAATACAACTCCATAATACATCCTCACTCAAAATCCTCTTATAAGTTAAACTTAAGTCTACTTTTAAGCCAGTGCTTAAGCCAAAGGTAGACCAACTGCGGAAACTCCTCTATTCTGGGTGGATTGCCAGAATCCCCACCTGTCGAAATATAATCTAACTCCTCTAAACTAAGAAAATTTCGGCAGCACTTCCCGTAGGAAAGGTGTCTTTCCAAGAATTTATATAAGTCTAAATATGAAAAATAGAAAAAATTTCTAACTCTGGAAAGCCAAAATTTTGTCTTACTCCCTGAATTAGTATAAATTTGGGCAGCACTCCCTCTAGAAAAGAAGACTTTCCATATTTATACTGAGTCAGATATAAAAGTAGAAAAATATTCTCTAACTCTGGAAAGTCAAATTCTGTCTAACTCTCTTAATTGGTAGAAATTTCGGCAGCACTCCCTTTAGAAAAGGAGACTCTCCAGATTTATACTGAGTCAGATTTGAACTCACAAGACAAACTTGAGTTCAATTTAGATAAGATTTAACTAACTCCTCAGTTTTGCAGAAATTTCGGCAGTACTCCCTCGAAAAAGGTGCTCTCTCAAAATTTATACAAAGCGGGGTCTTGATTTTGAGAATAACTTTGACTTCTTAAAGTCCAATTTTGTCTAACTCCCTGAATTAGTAAAATTTGGGCAGCAGTCTCTCTAGAAAAGGAGACTCTCGAGATTTATACTAAGTCATATATGGAACAGACAAATTGAACTCTAATAAGTCAAAAGTTAACTAACTTCTTGGATTTGTAGAAATTTCGGCAGCGCTTCCCGTAGAAAAAGTAGTTTGCCAAGATTTATACAAAGCCACGTATAAGAAAAAATCTCAGAAAATGCAGGAATTGACTTAAGTAAAAAAAAATTATTACAGAAAATGCAGGAATTGACACTAACTCATATCGCTCTAGCACGTGGCGAGCAACTAAAACAACTACCTATAAAACTGAAACCCAAACAAACTAGTCATCCCATCCAGTCATATGCAAACCAAACCACGAATGTAAGTACTCTCACCATCCCAAGTTCATTCCATATAAGAAGTTCGTGAATCTTCAAGTTCATGAACCCTTATACCAATCTTACATAAGACATAGAGCTGGGTCATTCGTCATGGAAACAATGTCCAACTTGTCTTTATGATATACACGAACAGGTTACACAATTACTTCTTTCTTCTTTTGGACAGATGACTAGGCCATTCGCCATGGAAACAATGCCTAGTCGCCCTGAGCTGTTTAATATCCAAAGTTTTAGTATTTCTCTGACTTTGTTAAAAAGAAAAGACAAATATGGGCAGGGGACTGAACCATTCACAGTAGAAACAATGCCCAGCTGTCAGTTCACATGCAAATATACATAAAGTACTTTCCTTTATACTTAGTTTAATTTATGTGCGTTGTTTTGAGGCTAAACCATTCACCATGGAAAGAATGCTTAGCCTTAGACAAAAAATCCTCCCTCAGAATAAACAAAAATTTAAACCCCTTCAATCAGGCAAACCCTCAGAGTTAACTAGAGTAAAGAGGCCATTCACAGTAAAAACAATGCCTGGTTCCCCAGAAAACAATAAAATAAACACAACAACCAGGCCATTCACAGTAAAAATAATGCCTGGTCCTTCAGAAAACAATAAAATAAACACAGCAACCAGACCATTCACAGTAGAAACAATGCCTGGTCCTTCAGGAAACAGCCAAATAAACATAGCCCTAAGCCATTCACAGTAGAAACAATGCTCAGGCTTTGGTTGACCCTTCCAAACGCACGCAAAACTGCCTTCCTCCCACCTTCCCCCAGTTCATCCTTGGTCTGCTTTTAGTCAAATCAAAAATGAAACTTAAGCTTCACTCTCACACATTCTTTCAATTCAATCTGATTAGGTCCTGAAGAGAAAGCAAAAAAACCATAGGGACAACACATGCATACTGCAATCATACTACAGGGAGATAGACAAGCATGGGAAGTAGTGGGTTGTACAGATAACGATGGTTTACCTGACGATTTCCTGCCTCCAGAACTCCTCCTGAGTTCCGCCTGAGCTCCCGCAATCGGTGGGTGGACTCCCCACAGAGTCTTGACGCGGACCTACGGGTTGCAATCCCGCCTGCCGCCTTCCTCTCGTAACCAAGGACTAGACTGAGATTTAGAAGGGCAGAAGGAGAAAGGTTTCAGACTCTGAGATCCAAGGGAGGTGCTCTCAGACTCGCGGGAGAGGGCCTCGTAATCTTGATACTCCTGAGGGCTCCGCAATGGCAGCCAAAAGAACAACTTGGTCAAACGTGCCAGCCTGCCGGAATAGCCCTCCCTGACGAACCTTCGTTTTCTCGGCGCCTGTCTCCTTCCCCAACTCCCAATACTTCTTTCTAAACCAAACACTGTCGTATGGCGGTTAGCAATAGCCTGGTAGTACAGCAACAGTCCCGCAGCGAAATACAGCAGCACATAATAATAGCCGGCAGTAAAACGCAGTGCCGTAGTTCACGGTCCGTGGTTCTGTAGCCTACAGTCTGCGTAATTCGTAGTCTGCAGATCTGTAGTCCTTAGTCTATAAACTGTAGTCCACTGTCCATAGTCCACAGTTTGCGGTCTGTAGTTCTTAGTCGCTGCCCTATAGCCCACAGTCTCACACTGATACTCAGTCCGCAGTTTCACACCCGTCTGCAAGTAAACCCACAGTTCTCCCCATCTCTCCCTCTCTCTCCCCCTCTCTCTGTGTAACCCTTCGTTGGCGAGATAGCTCCGCACCGGCCAAACAGGTAAGTCTCCCGGTTTGCAGCTGGCCACACACTACTTAGTTCGAGGAGATAGGGAGGAAGAATTTAGAATGAATCTGTCTGCAAACGCGACTAGATTCATTCCTTGTTTAAGCAAAAACTAACTACTCTGCCTCCGCGCAGCACTTCCTCTACTAACTTCCTTGTATACGAATTTTCTTTCTAAACTAACCGCGGATTCGAGACCGCCACAGTCAAAAACCCCCAAATCGGTTCTTCCCTCGCTCGTTTTCGTTCAGTAACGAGCGAGCTATGCCCTTCCTGCTTCTTCCTTCGACGCTCCGCCATAACCTCCGCGCATCACCTTTCTACTGTAGCACAAGAACTGGCCACTAACACCGATTTCCGACCCTACAGTTGGATTCGCCATGGCTGAAAACATCGGAAGGCAGACCTTCAATCGCCCGCTCCCATCGAAAAAGCGGCCCGTACCATCTCTATTCTTTTCGAATGCACCTGGCGGCAATCCCGTCCAGGTTCACTCACCTCCTTTTCACCCACTTCGCGTAGTGCTTTTCTCACTAACTCTATTTCTTTACTAATCTAACGCCGAAACTAACCTTACCACTAAACTCGCCGGGGACAAAAACCCCGGATTCGCCTCCTCTCTCGCTCGCTTTTGCTAAGAAACGAGCGAGATCTTCACTTATGCCTCCTTCCTCATACACTTCCTGCCATAGCTCCGCGGAACAGTTTTCTGTACTAACTCGCTTTCTACTAACTCTCTTCCAAAACTGACTCCACGGTTAGATTCGCCCAGGCTCAAAACCCAACTTTACCAACTTTCTTCGCCCGTTTCTTATAAGAAATGAGTTCACCATCTACTTTCTTCCTCTGCCATGTCCGCCACCTCCATCCTCCGCGCTGCCCATTCCCTACTAACCTCTTACTTTACTGACTCTCTCTCTAATCTGACTTCGCAGGTGGGTTCGCCCGGGGCCAAACCCCCGGGATTGCCTCTTACCCCCCTCGATTCCGCCAAGGATCGAGGGAGCTAAGCCATACTGGCTGCGCCCGAGCTCTCCACCCTTGCCATCACCCTTTCTTCCCCATCTCAAACCGCAAAAGAAGCCGGTCGCAGAACACGTCCGGGTACATTTCCCTCTTCTGCGCCCGTTGTTTGTCCTTACAGCCTTGCCTTGCCTTTGTCCGCTTGTCCTCTGCGTGACCCTGTCTCTTCCTTCTCTTCCTCGTCCATCCGCCTTCCGTCGGCCTCAGCGGTCTCCCATTTATCTTAATTAGCGCCCCTACTGCGCTACTTTTTTTTTTTTTTTTTTTTCCCGCTCCCGTTTTCTGCCGTCCGACACCCTTGCTGCTCCAGCGCCCGTAGCTGCGCTGCCTCAGCACCCCACACCTACGCCGCCTCGCCTTGCCTCTGCGGCCGCCCGTTGCTCTAGCCCTTTTCCACAGTCCGTGGGCAGCCCAAGTGCCCATTGCCTAGGAACACGCCATCGTTGGTTCCTCCTCCCGGTTAGCACTGAGCAGGGACTGTCGAGGCTCATTGTGGGAGGGGACAGGAGGGAAGACACAGTGACGGGCCCATCAAAAGAGCCTGACCCCGCTGCTATAGACTGGCTCCTGCGGGTCTCACCCACCCACTACAGTGGATATCACCCACGCTGGAGGGTGCGGCTCCCGCATGTCCCTTTACCGGAGGTTTGAGCACGGATGTGGCTGCTACAAGGTTTCCCGAAATACTATCACGGGGTTACTTCGGCGCCACTATAAAACAACACTACTGGCCCCCTTTGCCCCTAGCACACTTGCAGCTCAAGCCCCGACCACGCCCTGTTCTCAGCAATGGTGTGACAGGGGACTTCCGCCAGCACCCCGAACACGCGGATCCGTCAAATAAAATGTGTTCTCAAGGTCCTTGACTGCCGTGACGACCATTAGATCCGGCGTCCCGTTCAAGTCAACGGCCCGCCGGGGTATAAAAAAAATACGACACTAGAATAAAAATTATTTAGAAAGCCCCACCACCGATCGGATGCCGCTATTGAAAAAACCAAGGGGGATAGCCCCTCGGCCCTCAACCCCAGCGGCTTTTCTTCCCGCTGCTCCGCTGCTGCTTTTTTCGACGCCCGCCGGCCTCGATCCTCGAACCTCCGTATCGTCAACCCAATGCCGTAACCTATAGGGCTAAGCCCAAACCTGAGACCAAGGCACGCCGAGCGCCATATAAGGCGGTGCGGCGCGGCACTTTGGGCCAACAAAAACCGGCTGCGCGGCTCCCAGTGTCCGTGTCGGCTGGCTTATACCGTGCCATAACTGCCCCATGCGCTATCCTACGACACCCCGCTTACCGCACGAGGCCGTACCATCGTTGTCGATGCCGTCGTCAAGGTCGTTCTCCGCACGCGCGCTCGACTCGGTCAAATGTACCAATCAAATAAAATATCCTTAATTTCTGCTTAATCAAAAATAAATAAATAACAATATCGCCAAGCAAAATGACCGAGGTCCGAGCCGGCTCTTACGATCAACAACAGAAAAGAATCACGCGCACCTTAAACCTGCGTGCTCACGCACTCGCTATTGTGGTCAACCACCTGGGCAACGCAATTACAGACGCAGCCGCGCTTAGCGCGGTATACTTAAACTTTAAACCAAAACTGTTTTTCTGTTACTTGCAAAAAATAGGGCGGATACCCTTGTAAGGGTATTCGCACCGACACTAGCGGACTTAGGGAAAGTCAGTCGCCGGAAGTTTGGTACGGCGAAGCAGTTTCTCACGGAGTTCGAACGAGTTGCGCGCTTAGTGCCTGATCTTCCAGATAAGGATCGGTGTCTTATCTTCCTCGAGAACTTTTCGAAAGTTGAGCAGCGGGAATTGATGAAGGATATGAATGGTCGATACGACTGGTCAAAGATCAAGGAGAATTTGTTGGCGGGAAGCTTCGACCAGTTGCTTTACTGTCTTTTGAAGCAGCAAAAAGAAGACCGCGAGAAGGAAGGGGTAAGCGCGGACAAAGACCAAGCCGTTTACAAGACCCTGACTGACATGCGGAACATGATGGCTGACATGAAGGAGGAAAGGTTAAAGCTACAAGTGATGATGGTCCAGACGAAAGGGGGAAAAAGGAAGGGAAAAACACCCGTTGTGGAGGAAGTGAGTAGTAGCAGCAGTGAAGAGGAAGACGAGGAGGAAGTGGAGCCCCCTCGAACATTGACCAAGGCAAAACGGAAGGCCCTGAATCAGATACGAGGAGGGCAAGGCACTGGTAAAAAGCAGCGGAAGAATAATGGAGGAGGTGGACAAGAAAGTAACCAAGAACAGGCGGCGCAGGCCCCTCCTCAGCAACCCCAACCTCAGGCAGGAGGCCGAGGCCGAGGTCGAGGTAGAGGACAAGGCACTGGGGGAGGCCGAGGAAATGGTGGCGGCCGAGGCAATTGGCAGAATTGGTTTTGCAAGTATTGTGGCCAAGATGGGCATGGGATACGGTTTTGTCAGACCGTTGCCAAAGATGAAAACGACAAGGTTATATATACGAATATTCGAGGCGAGGTCTACGACTTCGAAGGGAATCTCATCGATCATATTGTGGAAGGAGGAATGAGAAAGGAAGCCTTCCGACGTATGAGGCGAGATCTTCCAGCAACGTTTCGACTGACTTCCCCGGAAGAAGTCGAACAGATCGAGTTCGAAGCGGCGATGGAGTCATTGACGATTGAAGATGCCAAGGTCGCAGATGAAGGGTTGAGCAAAGAGCAGGAAGAGATACTGCAGCGAGCTCAGGCAATGGTCTGAAAAATGACTCGATGCAGGGAAGCTTTCGTTCAAGTATGTGCCGACATGAATGAAGAATGGCTCGGGTTTCCCCAAGTCTTTCTGTTTGGAGGATGGGACAGAGATGGCCAAGGAGGTCTTACTGATGGTACCGCATCACAGTCTGGATCGTCGTCGGCAGGGCGTTTGATGGCCACCACAATCTTGTCCCGTCCCGCTTTCAAGCGACCTGCCACTGTTGGCCTCCCACAGGCTCGGAGGGCTCGGAAGCCGCCACGGCCAAGGGCAACGCCAGAGGAAGGACCAAGTCAGCCACGGGGAAGCGAGACAATTGTGATTGAGGAAGACGATGGCGAGGAGGACGAATTGTTGCGGGCCGAGGATGAGCGGCAGGTCAAACAACGGGCCATGGAGAGGGAACCAGAAACGGGCAAGGCCGATGTTGAGGAAGGAGAGCTGAAAAAGAAGAAGCAAGTCTACACAATTCCAGCAGAGCCTGGGCTGGATATTGAGCAAATCGTGGACCGGATTTTGGAAAGCCAGCGCGATTTGTTCACGCTCAAGGAGTTCTTGGCCGCGTCACCCAAAATCCGAGAGGAGTTTAGACAGCGATTGTCAAGAAAAAAGGTGATGACGGTTAAGATGAGTGATATCTTTCCTGAAGAGATTAGTTGGGCTCCGCCTGGACAAAAATTGACTGGCACTGTGTTGCAACTGGGTTGTTGAAGATGCAAGTTGGGCCATGCGAATATTTAGCTCTCATCGATGATGGAGCTGAAATGAATATTATACGTGAAAGAGAGGCCATGGGGGCAGGAGTCAACATCAATCGAGCAGATACTGGATTTCTAGTGGATGCAAGTGGGATAACTCCCTTTTATGGAACGGCGAGTGACGTGACAATACGAGTTGGTAAAGTCAAAGTCCGTTCTTACTTCTATGTGCTACCCAGGGTTGAGCATGCCGTGTTGTTGGGCAAAGCTTTCCTATGTCGGTCACAATCCATCATCTTCAATAAGCATGATGGTACTATTATCGTGGTTTTGTGTGATCCCGTATGTGGTTATTACGAGGTGATGAAGTGTGAGAACATAGGACCAACCAATTTAAGGAACCGACTCAATCCGGGGTCCTACTCCTTCACGAAATCCGAAAGACTCAGGAGGGAGAAGGAATCCCTCGGAGAAGAGAGCGATCCCCAGGAATTTTCTCTTGCCCTGCCCAAAATCTCTCAAGCGATCGAGTTCGTTGCGACAGACTCGTCCATGGACCCCAAGTTGGTCCAAACTCTGACAGAGATTGTGGCAGGAGAAGGCGGGACTGGTATAATGTATCTTACTTATTGGCTCGACAGGTCTTCGGAAGGTGATGTATTGACGGAGCCAGCAACCAAGCAAGGGCCTTTTTTAGAGGTGGACGACTTGAAGTTGGAGCGAAACGTAAGTACAAGAGAGTAGGCGAGAAAGCTCAGTCAGTGCCCGTCTTGATCACGCAAGAAGAAGAAGTGTATTATAAAGAAGAAAGAGAATGGATCAGGATGATGAAGGAAAAGAGTATGAAGGCGCCATGTCGGTTGACGGAGGAGAGGATTAAGAATATGATCATTGGAGAGGAAGAGTCTCTTACAGAGAAGGAGGTGGACTTCCTTGTCAGCGTCATGAAGAAAACCTATTTGGCTTATGCTTTCGATGATGATGAGCGAGGGAGGCTTAACGTTGACATGATTCCAATGATCAGGATTCATACGGTACCTCACGAGTCGTGGAACATACGAGGCCCGCATTATCCGAATCCGGATGATCATCGTAGAGTCGTTGAATATCTGGACGGTAAGATTCGGACAAAGGTCGCGGATTACTCGTACGGACCATATGCGTCCCCTTGGTTTTGTTTCATCAAGCCAAGTGGCGTATTGCGATGGGTGCAGAACTTGCAGAAGCTGAACTCAGTGACCGTTCGTGATGCCGGAGGACTTCCGCATGCCGATCAGCTATCTGAATCGTGCGCAGGCAGACCTATCATCACTCTCATCCACTTCTACTCAGAATATGATCAATTCCCTCTCTATACAGCAGACAGGTCAATGACGGCCATGCATACGCCGAGGGGATTAATTCATATGTGTGCGGCGCCTCAAGGATGGACAAACGCCGTAGCGATTGTTCAGAGAGACATGATGAGAGTCATGCAGCCGCTTTGTCCAAGCGTGACCTCACCTTATATCGATGATCTGGCCATACCTGGGCCACGTGTCAAGGACGAGACGGAGGTCCTGCCAGGCGTTCGAAAGTTTGTTTGGCAGCACGTTCGTAACGTGGAAAAGGTCCTGTCCAAGTTAAAGGAGTACAACCTCACCGCCAGCGGTGTCGAATCTCGACATTTTGTACGTGAGGCGACTATTTTGGGCTTCTTATGCGATGAGAAGGGTCGTCAACCAGACTCCAAAAAGACAAACAAGATTCTGGAGTGGCCGACCTCGTTCAAGTCCATTACAGACGTGCGCAGCTTCTTGGGGACTTGCGGATTTTGGCGCATCTTCATTCGCAAGTTCGCGGCAAGGGTGGAGCACCTGCGGAAGTTGGTGCGTAAGAATCAGGAATGGGAATGGGGTCCAAAGCAAGAGGCGGCAGTTGATGATATCAAGGCACAGTTCCGAGAAGGAGGATTGATCCTGGGAGTTTCATGCTTCGACAATGACCCGAATCGACCCTTCGTGGTTGAAACAGATGCAGGCCCCACGACATTGGGTGGAGTCCTCATCCAAAAGGATGAAGAAGGGCGAGAAAGGCCATTGAGATTTGAAAGTCGGACGCTGAATGAGGCGGAAAGGAAATATTCCCAATTTAAGAGGGAAACCCTTGCAGTGCTTCATTGCTTCAGGATCTTCCGTAACTACGTGTTTGGAAGACGGTTCATCTTGCGGGTTGATCCGACTGCCTTGGCGCAGTCACTGAAGAATTATTCCCCCTCGGATCCAACTATTACTCAATGGTTGATCTATTTTTGGATGTTAGATTTCGAGATCGAGCGCATTGCAGGAGCACAAAATCGAGCCGATGGATTAAGTCGGATCGAGTGGGACTCCTCGAAAGATCAGGCAGAAAACTCGGTTCCTGTGAATGGGTTCTTGGAGAGGGACGAGCAACAATTAAGAATCAATGTTTGGGAATACATTACTAATGCTTCGTCTGGACCTGGGAAGTCTATCTGGAGTTCGCCGAGTTGCTATCAAAAGCGTTCAGAACTTGTGATGAGAGAGCCCTTTATTGAGGAGGATCCTTGGGGCAAACGATCTGCTCAGCAGATGATGAGATTGACATTGTCCGACCTGGTACGACTTTCAGAAGAGCCTCTTACGATTGAAGGAGGACATGAGCAGGGTGACGAAGCTCTCAGGATCTCCGAGGGAATGGTATTCCTGGTTAATTCGTTGATACAAGAAGATCGCGGCAAGTTAATGTTGGAAGAACGGGAAGGCAGTGAGATTAAAGAAGCCTTTCGTGAGGAGGAATATGATGGGATTTATAAGAAGATTGGGCTTTGGTTGAATAGGGACCTGAACGAGGCAGAAATAGAGCAAAAAATAAGACAAAAGGCAAAGAGTTTTGTCATTCGACAGGGGCATCTCTTCAAAAAGTCTAACGATGGTACGTCTAAGAGAGTGGTGTGTGGGGTTCCCAGATAGTTGGACGTGATTGCGGCCCTACATGATGGAGTGGCAGGTGGACATCGATCTGCACGAGTGACATTGAGAAAAATCCAACATATCTATTTTTGGGACGGTATGGGTAAGATGGTGACAGAGTTCTGCAACTCGTGCGTTCCGTGTCAGAAACGTTCAAATCTCCGTTATGTCGAGCCTCTCAATCCGCGGTATGTGGGTGAGCCAAGGGCGGTTGTGCACCTCGACCTGGTCGTTATGCCACTCGGGCTCAATGGGTACAGATACATTTTTGACGCGAGAGATAATCTTACCGGGTTTGTTGATGGGCGTGCAATCCGTGAACGAACCGGGAAGATCCTGGCAGAATGTATCGAAGAGTTTTACCTTCGGTACCCATTCGTTCAAGAGTTTGTGATGGATCGAGGCGGTGAATTTCGGACAGAAGAGGTTCAGGCTCTCCTGAAAAGGCTGGGAGTGAACTATAGTTATACTACTAGAGCGCACCCCCAGGTCAATGCTCCGGTCGAACGTGGGCATGCCACCTTGACCAATTTGTTAGCTAAATGGTATGCTGGCAAGCCGTCAACATGGCCCGTCTATCTTAGAGCTGCCATATTTGTTGAAAATATAACCGTAAAACGGACTACTGACTATGCTCCTGTTACGTTATGGTTTGGACGACATGCTACATTTTCGATCGAGAGTTTCCTGACCACATGGCAAAAACAGGATATGAAAGTCAGGCTCTCTCCAGAAGAATTGTTGGACCTTAGGGCCAGACAAATAAAAGCTATTGAGGAAAGAGTTGTAAAGGCCGCTGCGTCAACTGCGGATAGCAGACGGGCGGACAAAGTTAGATGGGATAAGCAACCCGAGGTAGGAAGGAACCGTTGGAAGTGGGGGATATTGTCCTCCTCTATGACTCTTCTCTTGAAAAGCAGTGGTCGAGGAAATTAAATAATCGATGGATGGGGCCATATCGTATCATTAAGAAAACGGAGCATGGAGCATACGAGATTGAGGAGATGGATGGAGCACGTGGGCGAGATTGGGTTTCAGGCTCACGCTTGAAGAAGTTTGTTCATAGGGACTAAATAATGCCTTACTTTTCTTAACAGACATTCATACCTCTGGCTAACTTGATTTCATGATTAAGTATTTGTAAGATATATTTTCCATGTAATGGACAGGCACATATGGACTTGTAATGAATTACTTGTTGACGTCATTTTTGTCATTATTCTTCGTTTTTTAGCAAGATAATTGATGTGCATAATGATTTACTCCAAACCTTGTAAAAATGATTCTCTGAGTATGCATCTCCTTTATTTCTTATGTTGAATGTGTTTTGTTTGTGAAGGATGGGTGTGAATCATTTGTACAGAGTTATGACTTAATGTGTAACATGTGGCTTCCTGAACGATAAGTATTCGTTCTGTAGGCACATGGTTTAATAAATATAAAAAGTTATATGTAATACCTAGTCCTTATTGTGTCTTGATATTCCTGAAAGATGTGAGCCTTGTAGGTGATAGTGAGGCTCGTGCCGGAACTTGGTTCCTGGTCCACAACGAGATGATGTCATCAAGTTCTCTGACCCTTGATGGCGAATTTGATCAAGGGTCAGACTCTATTCCGAGATTTGGCTGGAGGCAAAGTAGCTGCCCTCATCCTTCAGCCAATTATAAAAGCTAGCGTGCCACCCAGCAGCCTCACACTTGTGGCAATGCTGCTGGGGCATTCTACTTGAGTAGATGCTGGCTGGCTGGGTGCCGGTGTGATGAGGCGAAGTGCTGGAGGTCTGCAGAAACACCTGTCTCTTATACACATCTAGATGTGTATAAGAGACAGGCCCTCATCCTTCAGCCAATTATAAAAGCTAGCGTGCCACCCAGCAGCCTCACACTTGTGGCAATGCTGCTGGGGCATTCTACTTGAGTAGATGCTGGCTGGCTGGGTGCCGGTGTGATGAGGCGAAGTGCTGGAGGTCTGCAGAAACACTTGGAGGGAGGAGGAGGCAGCCATAGCTAGAGGCTGGGAGCTTCTTGCCTCACCTCTTGTGCTGTGCTGCAAGTTGTGGAGGAGCCATAGCCGTAAGGCTGCTGTTGGATTGGGCCGTGCGGCAACGGGTATTCTTGCCAGAACAGCGAGAGAGCTGCCAAAATTGTGCGGCGGCAGCGCTGGTATTCTTGGCGGTACAGCGGAAGCGCTGCCGAATTCTGGCAGCGGCAGCACCGATTTTCTTGGCGGTACGGCGAGGGTGCTGCTGGATTATGTGGCAACAGTATTTTGCACAGGATTACGAGAAGCGGGATTGGACGTTGCCGCAGGGACGGTACCGCCAAGGGGGAAGTGCACTTTGAAATAGAAAGGGTGTGGCGATCGTCTCGTTGAAGGCGTTACGGCACGTGGCACTTGTAAGAATTGTTGAGGCCGTTGTTATTTTTTTACAGCATACCGAGTAAGCGGGGATTGGGTTCGGGACCACCAAGTATTGCGGCAGGCAGGTGCTGGTCTGACTTGGTATTTGGTGGGTTGAATCGGCGTTGTTTTGGTGGAAGGTGTGACATTGATGCTGTGGGATTTGAGAGTGGGGCACTCTCCTCAACGGCAAGCTCGCTTCTGTGTTGGTGAGCGGCGCCTGAGTCAGCGGCGGCGTTTGAAGGAGGGTGTGACTCGTCCTTGTGAGCGGCCATAACGAGAGTGGTGCGACCGAATGTTTTGTGAAGATATTTGGCTTTCTTGAGCGAGCCCTCATAAAAATCACTCAAGGTCAGTGCGACTCAGTTCCTTTGCACACCCGCGTGAACCCACACCTTGCATGACCTTGCTTTGAATTCAGGGGAAAAGGTAGAGTAAGAGTGTGATGTCATGCGTGTGAAGAAAGGGCTGACTTGTTTTGGGGATGAATGAATCTCTGGGTTGTTTCTTTTCCTGATTGTGCAGGTAGGTTGGGAGATGCATGTGAGAAGGAATCAACATTATTTGCTCGAGATAATAATGGGGATGCTTACCTCTCTCCCACTCAACCTAAATGCATGTGACGGAAAAGAGGGGAAAAAAAATAATAATGGAAGTGCGAACGGACGGGTGTCGAAAGAACGAAGGCCGTGGGAAAATTAAAAGAAAAGAAGACAAGGGAATACCTTAGTATCTTCCCAAGGATTTCCCCATTCTATCCCGAACGACCACTTTCCTTCTATGCCCGTCCAAAATATTTTATTTCTTTCTCTTCTCAATTCGTTTAAGTCGACCCTTAGTCGGGGAGGCATAGAGAGGTCGTCTGCACCTAGGGTCTTGGCTTCTTCTCTCTAGGAGGCATCTGAGGCGGGGGTTCGTTGCCTTAGGGGCCGGCCCTGTTATCGACTCGGAGCGGACCGCTTTTGCGGGGGGATACCATGCTGTTGCGGTGGATCCAGCCCAACTTCTGAGTCCTGAACAATGTGTTCGGGCGAGGGGGAGGGGTATTCCAAACCACTTCCTAAAGGGTAGGGTGTCTTAAGCTAGGGGCAGTCGCCTCCTCGTGCTTTCAGGGAAAGGGGAGGCTGAATCTAGTACCCGGCTGGGTGGCCGCTTTAGGAGCCACCAACGTGTGGGAGGGCTGGCGCTACAAGAAGCCCTGCCCGTGATTCAACTTGTGTCAACGGGAGTGCAAATAGGCACTACTCTCGCGATCGGACCGTGATACAAGAATCACGGTCCGAAAAGGGGAGTGAAGATTGAACATGAAAGTGGGTATGTCTGTATTATTTTGACAAGAGTTACCGCTTCGTCGTTCAGATGCTTGCGGAGACAGTGATTCTCCGATTGTTCAGCACACGCGAGGCGGCGGCTAATTGGTTAGTGGTGCAGACACGATCACACGCCGGCATGATACGGAAAGGAAGGCTGGTGTACAACCCACTTGAACTTTACTCGGAACGGGATGCGCCGCGATTCTGGGACGGAAGCGTGAGAAAACCACCGCGGAGTTATGTTTTCTTGGTTGAGCCAGGCCAACATATTGTGCGATATGATTTTGCACCTCCTAATCCATCACGAGATTATGGAGACATAAACCTAGTTGTGGTTCGCGAGGACTGTCCGGGATTAGAGAACATTCCTGAGGTTAGGGGGATGTTCCTCCATATTGTACTCCATTTGAACGATTTGCAAGGTCCGTTCGGCCTCCTTCATCACGTGAGACGGGTCCGAGCGAATAGATTTAATATCATTCGCTCGGAACGTTTCGACGTCACCGCGTTCTATGACGAGGCTTGTGAAATTTACGAGCACCTCTTCTAACTGGTGGCTTCTTCGGTGTGCAGATGCCTAGTGGACGGCGAGACCTCACTCAGGCCAGATATCTACTGATTCGCGACACTACGGACGAGGAGCTGATCCTGCGAGCGGAGCGATTATTACTGGTTTGAGATGGAGCGCCCACACGCTGGATTGGTTTTATCGGCCTGCTCAGCGATGGGCAGGGATTCTTTCCTGACTCGTGCACGGATGTTCGCGCCAATGTGGCCCGACTTTCGGACGAAGTTCATGGATACACCTTGTACTTCCATCGCGCGAGCAGCCTGCAATGCCTCTCTCGGGTCATTGTGAGCGTCAAAATTACCCTATCCGGGGAGCGCTACGGCATCGTCCGGATTAAGGACACCACGACCACACACCTGTTTCGGATGCGTCAGCCGTTCCACGCCATAGTTTGGAAGCTCGCCTCACGGATAGCTTCGCTCTATGATATGCGGAAGGTCTGAGTCGTGCGAGGTGGTCGTGTCTCCACCTTGATTTTTGGCGACGAGGAGCTTACACGACTCGACCGGATAGAGGCCGTGAGGGCCAACAGGTTTATCATGGCTGAGCGCACCCTCTCGAGTTAGGTGTAGTGGTAAGTTGTTCTTTTGTATGGCCACATCTACGTAAGTCTACAAGGGTAATAATGACAAAAGAAAAACAACAATCTTACGTAGGTAGGCCAACCAGATGCATAGTATCTGGATTACCCCGATGATGGCACTATCATCCTTATGCATTGAGGGGTAATCGATCGCTGAAGAATGAGCCGAGCAAAATAAAAATCGAACACCTGAGAAGCTGTTGAGCAAAAGGGCGAGGGAGAAGTATCAAGAGATGAAACATTTCCATGCCAAGCATCTGGTGTCGGGGATGGGTACTTCGTCATTCGTGGAACGGAGAGAGTAATTATTGCCTAGGGGGACAAATCGACCGACAGAATTGTCAGTCGCTCCTCCGAGTAGATGTATGCGGTACGACAAAATGGTTGAACCGGGAGTTCAAACATCGACCACGAGCCAAGTCACTTGTTGATCTGCATGGTACCTGCGGTATTTACTTGTAAAGGCTGTGCGCGACGGATCTTCCGTCTTTGGACGGTAGTATAATTGTCTCTTCGGTCAAGTAGGCAGGAAATGATAACCTTGGCAGACCATCTCATCAAGTTGAAATGGTGTTCATGTATTGGTTTTATTCATGAGTAGGGGATTATAAAGGGACTAGGATTATACACTCGGTTCACGTTTCGCTGAGGCCGTCCTAGTCGACCGACGCTCGTTCGTACCGAGGAGGTCAACGCCCTCGGGAACGGACAACGTTCGGGTCCACTTGGCGTTAACCAAGCGTACCTATACTCCAGCGAGTAAGCAAACGCCCTCGGCTGACCTACCTCTGCAATTGCATGTAAAAGCTTTCGCACGTGGGTCGGTAGCTCGGTAGGGATACGCCCCTAAGGGTGGTGACAGCCCCTTAGGGAAAGTTAGTTGTGCCCCGCGAAAACCTATCCTGTCGTAGGGGACCGAGGGATGTATAGCTGGCGCACCCGGCTAGAGCGGCGAAAGGACAATGCAACCTCGTCCGTCTCGGTGGTTCGCGGGATTATTTATGCATTGTCCTAAGTTGCCTCTTGATTTTGTTTTGTTTTAACTCCTGCGTGACATAGCCGGGAGGGCCCTCGTTCACACGAGGGCTGATGCGCTCGACACCAGTATCACCAATGCACAGGTAAGGCAACGTAAGTCTCGCACTCTCTCTCTGCCTCCTCAGAAGATCTGATCACCCTCTTCCTCACACTTCGTCTACTAAGCTACAGCTATGGCGTCAGGCGCCCTTCCTAGCTTTGGCTGCCCCCCTCTTTCTCTTCAAAGGTTGTTGTTGACTTCCTCTCTCTGGCATCAGCCTCTTCTCCCTTCCCTACCCTTCCCAGCAGCGGCCTGGCCACCAGCATGTGCAAGACATAATGAATACTGGTGTTGACCACTTTTTTTTAGCATTGACTGGCCAAGGCCTGGCTTAGCTTGCCTCCTCCAATGGTGGAGTTTTTTCGATATAGGGAGCCCAAATTTGTTGTAGGTCTCAGTGTTCCAGGACCCAAAGTGCCATAGAAACTTCTGGAACAAATGGACATAGGCTTTGATTGTGCACTAGATCTGTGGCCGTGGTCGACTGCTGGGAAATCTCTAAGTCTACTTTTCCTTAGTTGGGTCTAACTCTCGACTTTTCAAGAGTACTTGTTGACCCTGCGACTTTCGAGTCCTGAAGAAAGACGAAAAGTTACGACCCTAGTCTATGTCTATGCGGATTTGAAATATTGCATTTTATTTGATTTATAAAAAACGAATGCTGCAAACAATGAGTTTCTTTCCAATTTAAAATTAGAAAATCAAAGTTGAAAGTCACTTTAAATCCGCAGAGATAAAAGTAGGGGGTGTGGCTTTTGGTCAAAGCCCAGTTTCAGGGCTCAAAAGTTTCGTCCACAGTCTCAAAAAGTGCTGAGAAAAGTCCTAGGTCAAGGGGTACCATGCCGTGAGTCAAAAGTTGTGTCCAGTACCCCCACGCCAGACAGTTGACTCTTGGGAAATCAAGAGTCAGACTCAGCACAGGAATAGTAGGCTCAAAGTCAAGGTCTTCCATTAGTCAACCACGGTCGTAGATGAGATGCAACCAACTGGGACACAATACATTTAGGTCAACAGTTCATCCAGGCCATCGACTTCGAAAAAATTTTGCCATCGACGTGGTCAAGGGAGAGCCTGGTGAATGGCAATTAACGCTATAAGAGGAACTGTCAGATTCACCTGGTGGCCCGACCATTGTTGGGAAGGGTAGAGCTGCAGACCACACTGGGATAGTGATGTTGTTGGTGGCCAGTGCAGGAGAAGTAGGTGCAGCWGTCCCATCCTACAGTCCTACACTACCTGTTGCCTGCCACCCAATCCCCATGCGGCCAAAAAGCCCATAGCACCCCTTCCCCTATTTTTCCTAGGTGCAGAGATAAGGCCCTGGCTGGATGTTCGTGTCGGTTGTCCAATCAGACAAACCAGACACTCGGGGGAGGTCCCGGACATCCAACCTGGTAACTTAGTAAAAGTGAAAACCTGATCTTTAAAAGCCTCCGACATACTGGTACAAAAATAGAATGTATAACAAACAAAAAACATCAATATTGATTGCAAAATTTTATTATTTTTTTAGGCTAGCAGCCGAGCCACCTGGGTTGTCTTAGACTTGCCTGCATAGCCCGGTTGGACCAGGTCTGGGCGAAGTCCTGGTCAAGCTCCTGAACAACCGAAGCGAAACAAAAAAAGGACTATTAAAACAACTTCGGTCTGCATTTTTTCTGTTGCCCGATGCTCTGCTTCTGGCATGCCAATGGGCAGCCATTCAACAACCGTACGAGCTGCAACAAACTGTGGAGTTAAAARTTATATATACCAGGCTGCCCTGGTCACGGGTGACCTTGTTCACCTGGGTGGCCCAGCTATGCAAGGACCAGGGAAGGTCCCAGCACAAAAAAAATAGAAAAAAAATAAAAAAAACTGAAAAAAAACTAATATTATACAGAAAAATAAATCAAATAACTTTTGCTTCAGGGTCACATTGAAATTATAATATTTTTTAGACTTTTATATTTTATATATATATATATATATTTTTTTTTTTTTTATTTTTTTTTGTCACTACATAGGTGGTCGCAGACCATTCTAAT